ACAAAATAACCATCCAACCAAATCCAAATGAACCTTCCAAACAAATCCAAATACACACTAATAAATCTAGTTCCCCCACTCATCACGAAGTCTAGACCTATCGGTGCGTGGGTGTGAGGACGGACACTCATCAACAACATGATCGGGATTACCACATCTCGAACACTGTCCTCTATCATTTCTGCAGCGCGCCCGATGATCCATTTGCATGCGATAGCGTCTCGTTTGTTTGCGACCGGGTCCAGGCTTCAAGACCATCCTCTCCCAGTGTGGTATCAAATTCCATCCCACCGGCGCCCATGTATCCGCAGTACCAATTGGAGCAAAACTCCAATTAGTAAATTGATCTACCCAGGTCTGCGTCCAAAATGCCATATCGTACAACGACTTTGGATCAAGCCCGATGTGACGAGCTACAGCTATTGCATGAGAGCACGGTTTCCTGTATGTCTGCCACTTCAGACAACTATAACGTTTCCCACGATAATTAACCTTAAAGCTGTTAAACAAACAATGAGTTATATATATAAACATTCAAATATTTGAATGGAAAAAAAAAACAAAAAAAAAAACCATATATACCTGTTTTTCCCTCTCCCACTAGCCCGTAGACCGGTTATGACCTTGTACCTGGACTTTTCGGCGTCCACACATGTCACAAAATGGGTTGCGGATGTACGCTCCAATTCCAAAAATGCGGTATAGTGCTGAGTAGCAATGAGACTCATGCATCTCGTGGCCTTCTTTTGTTCTTGTTCGACCAAATTCAAAGTTTTGTCCAATGTGGCCTGTACCAAAGCTCTGCACGGCAAAAACCCAACGCCTTTCAAAACGTTGTTGTAGCTCTCCGACATATTGGTCGTCAATGTGCCCCATCTATGTCTTCCTTCATCACCATACAAGGTCCACTTGTTCAAAGGAATATCGAAGAGGTACTTGTGTGCCTGGGGATTAAATTCCAACAGTCGCTGTTTTGTCGCTCTTAACTTTCACTCCGACAATTGTGAACCCAAATTCCAACACCAATCAGGCACTTTCTTATTCTTAAAGTTAGTGACCACGTTGCTTCGAAGGTGTCGAAGGAAAATCCGGTGATATGCAGCGGGTTCTTGCCAACCAACCAACGAGTCAATGGCACTTAGTATGTCGTTATCCCTGTCGGAGAGACACAGATCTGTCGGTCGAACACAACATATTGCCGCACATTTGTAAGGAAAAAGGACCAGCTATCCTTGCTTTCTTCATCAACAATCGCATAGGCGGTTGGCAATAGTCGCTTATTCGCTGTCTGTGCTATAGCCACAAGCAATTTCCCCTTGTACGATCCGCGCAAATGTGTGCCATCGATGCTAATGACCGGCGGGCATAGTTGGAAGGTCCGAATGGCGGGACCAAACGCCCATAATACAAATTTGAATTGTATGTCTCTATACTGATGCGCCATTTCCCCACCCTGCCATTCCCACTGCACAACTGTGGTGGGATTCGCTCTTTGAAGCGCGGCAAAATACCTGCAAATTACAAAACGGTTTCATAAATAGATAAACATTGTGACAGACAAACAACACATGTATTCTTAATTAATTTTTGCATACCGAGGGAGTTCTGCAAAATTCGATTCCCAGCAGCCATACACACGCTCGATGGCTTTTCTCCTGCCATGCCACGCCTTCTTGTAGCTTACATCGACTTTCCAGCATTGTTTCACATCGGCTTGGATCAATGTAACGTTGTAGTCTAATTTTTTTTCAATCTTGTTAACTACAAGATTTGAAATCATACGGGCGGTTACGTTTCTGTGGTCATTTCTTTCAACCCGTTGCATACAAGTGTGTCTGTCAGTCCATTCAGTTAATTCCCACATTTCATGAACCCGTTTCTTAGTCACTCGAACCTTCCACACACAAGGTTCGTCTTCATTAGATCTGCAGACCACTTTGAATGACTTTTGGTTAGAATATATTGTCCGAACCGCCCTCAGCCTATCAACGTTCCAAGCCAAGATACCCGATTGTGCCTCTTCCTTGCTTCTAAAAACTGTACCCAAACGGATGGTCTCAATGTCGCCATTCCATAATGGAAGAGCATACTCGTTTTCATCTATCTTTGATGGCTCCCATTCACCCATCTCGCGATAAATGTGGCGACCACCACTAGGAAGAGGGTCTTCCTCAATTCGGGTTCACTTTTCTCGTTTATAGACCTGTCTGATTCGCTTTCGGAGGTCTCATCAGTGAAATCATCTTCACCAGGAATGAAATCTTCATCGCCTTCTTCTTCTTCCCAGTTCTCATTTTCCCATTGCATTGTTGAGCTTGTCCCTTCTCCAAAATTACGTACATGCGAAGTAGACACACCCTCAACATCCACCACTCCCCGGTAACATCCCCACACATCCTCAACCTGTGTAACCGGTGTAATTGTCTCCAACGATAAATGCAAATACACCATGGACATAGAAGGAAGGTAATAAATATACTGAAGAAAACTATCGTTATTCAGTTTTATGAAATTCAACGAACCATCGGGTTAAGTAACTATTAAAGTAATCTCTTTCATTCTCCAACGTTCTCCAAAGCAAAAATTTTCATTAATCATTTCTACCAATTGTTGATAAGATATCCTCTCCGGAATAAACAATGAACCATCCGGATGATCTTTAAATAAAACAAATTCACTTAGCATTTCCTTCGGAAAATGCCAGTACAAATTAACAAAGTATGCACCGGAATGCGCCATTAATACCTGCTGCAAAAAGACAATTTACATTCTTCCCAATTACAACAACACATAATGTCTAATCCAACACAAAAAAAATTCAATTATTTCAACAAATAACCAAAATAAATATTTCCAACAAAATAATTCTCCAAAACCCTAATACCCATAATCAACAATGACATAAAATTCATCTATATTTCGAATAAATAGAAAGTCCTAATTCTAACCCTAATTCGAAAAACCCTAAGCCAAACAACAATGAATCAATGCACAATTGACAGTTTACAACAAATTTCCATTCTCCAATTCAACTACAAATATTCGATAAACAATTAACAATTCTCAATGTTCAAACACCACTACATTCAAACATACTATAACAATTCCCAATGTTCAAACACCACTACATTCAAACATTCTATACCAATTCCCAATTTTCAAACAACTCAAAACAATGTAAAAATTTGAGATAAGTCAATATACCTTGTGCAAAAGAATTAACCGGAAATAAGGCTCGTGTCGTTGTTGTCAATTCGAATCGGGTATGCGATATTAATACGCAGCTCGCTTGCTGCTCGAAGAGTGCTGCTTCTGCTTGTAAATCTCGTCTCTGAAGTGAGGGAAGAGAAGTCTTTTTTTATATTTGATTGTAAAACGTATTACAGGAATACGTTTTATTCTTTTATTTAATTATAAAACGTATTTTCTGAACACGTTTACTTTATTATTTTTTTTTTTTGTAAATTAAACTATATAACGTATTTCGAAAATACGTCTAACATAGATTATAAATTGTAACGAACAATTTAGGGTTTCTGAATACATATTATAAAAATACGTTTTATAATTACTATTTATGAATTGAATTCCTTCCACTTTATAGCAGAATTTTTTTTTTTTTTTAATTTTACAAAAACATTTATAAAACGTATTACCGGAATACGTTTTCTCTAATAATA